CCACGTTTGAATATTCATATTTCAAATGCAACTAATTCCAGGATATATTTATCGATCTGAGCAGCGAAACGCAGGAGCCACGTGACATGCTTATTGAGGACTGCAGTCATTTGTTCCCTTGTCACGTGACCTGCAGACGTCCTAAGTGCTTTAGCACGGTAAAATGTTGCGCTTACGTAATATAAGCTTAGTCACACCTGCAAAAGTTGTAGGCTCAAACACGGTGATAGAGCGCTTATAGCAACTTGACTTGCTAGCCCTCAGTTCAGAATTTACTTGTATCTTGCCGACTGCTATATATAAGAGTTTCGCGTTCTTCTGTTTCCAAGAGGTCAAACCCGTGTGGAGGCGAGGTCGAATACCTCCATCGTAGCCCTGTGAGTCGTAGGAGGTGACCAAAAGGGAACCCAGTGTCTGGAGGACATAAATACGGGGACCTGACCCTCCAGGTTGCGGTAGTCTTGAATGTGAGACAGTAAAACGTGGTCACGGGTCCCACGGGACTCCGACCCGAGAGTGACTGCGCTGGCGAGGGCCAGCAGCAATTGTAAACGACAGAAACATCTTCTCGTCAGAGAGAATGTTATATAAAAACTAAGAAAGCAAGTGTTCAGCCCGAAAAAAGAAATGCCGATCGTGAGTCTCAAGGGGCTTGTCGCCAAGAACTGATTGGCGGTAAATTGCCAGTCGTAAAGTAGCTCTGATGCTGAAGAAAGTCGTCTTCTGGGTTTTGGCGCCGTGTATTCTTCGTTTTGGCCGACGTTTCGGAGGAACGTATCGCCTCCATCTTCAGAGCAGGTGAATGGCTTGTGAATACNGTACAGCCATACCTACGTTCCCCCATACATCTTCACGACGTGATTGGGTTGGAGTTACTGGGTTGTTATACGACGTTTTCTTCTCAGAAATATAGTTTTGATTTAGCCATACCCAAAATCCTGAGCAGACTATTAATGTGCTTACATCGACAATTCAGTTATCGGCGGCGGCAAGGGGCACAAATTACGCACCCGCCCTTATGAATGTTTTGAAAAAGGAAACAAAACTTGAGAAAGAAAAGAAACATATCAATAACGGATAAGAAAGTATACGGAAAGTAACGTAAGTGAGGAAAATTGTACATGAGGAAGTACGCGCAATGTCTTCGCACCGATTTTCGAATTTTTATTTACGGTAAAGGTAAAGCTATCCCTGTAATAGGGCGTGCAGGCCCATAGGGTTGTGAGACGTCGAGGTTCCCACATTTTCAAGAAATGGCCTTCAACCTGGGGTACGGATACCCACGAGTGTACGTGAAGATATTTTACGGGGTACGTAAAATTAAAGTTCGTCCCCGAATTGAGGTGCTGGCGTGCCAGAAACAAGGTCAATCGTCTCATTAACAGGACAGATCCACATTAATAATTGATAAAATATTCAGTCATAAAATTTTACTTTCCTGAAATATATCTGTCGCTTTATTAAGTTATATATGGATGGGCCGCGCCATAGCTCAAGCTGGCTTCCCACCGCGGCGGCCCGGGTTCGATCCCGGGTCTGGACAAGTGGGATTTGTCGTGGACAAAGTGGCAGGTTTTCTCCGAGTACTTCGGTTTCCCCTGCCAATCTTCATTCCACCAGTTGCTCCACAATCATCCTCACCTATCACCTGGGGCTGGTACAATAGACCAGAATTGGCCGCAGTGCAAGGGACTTAGTCCCACCCCACTAGCAATAACAATTTATATATGGTAAGCATTTATTGTTTAATAACTTGATTCTCCACTTTCTCATTTGAAACTTATTATTTAATACATTGATTTTATGTAGATTATTTAACTTATTTTAGATGTAGATTATAGACTATAACTTGAATTATACACGAACAACTTTCGGGGTATACGATTGAAGAAAATTATATCTGCGGATACGCGAATAAAAAAAGATTGAATAACACTGTTGTAAACAATCGGCTCACAGATGGTGGTGAGGCTGTCAGTCTTACGCTCCGGCCGACTTTTAGCCGCAGGAAGATTCCTGGTACTCATTTCTGTTAGAGGCTGAGTCGACCCCAGGACCATAGTGCGGCTGGAAGGTTTAGGTCAATTGAAAACATCCACCTCATCGGGACTCGAAACTGCGACCTTCCGGCTTGTAGCATAGTGCCTCAACCAACTACGCTACCGCTTGCCCCCATTGGTATTTATGGTTGATTCAAAAACGCTTTCAGTAGCTTAAACAATAACACGACAAGTTGCAGGATGACTGATGAATGGATCGGGAAGGATTCGGAAACTAAGCCGATGTGCCCTAACAGAGGTATTATGCCGGTATTTATATGAAAGGACGGAATGAGACCAAGACAGACCTCATGATATCCGACAATTCGACCAAGATACGAACCCAGAGCCTCCCGAATTCAAGTCTGCACCGTCACCGCTACACCAGTCTACTCAACAGACTACTGGATGAAGGAGAATTAATAAAGGATGGATATGGTACAAGGTAAAGCACCACGCCAAGAAGAAATATAGCGGAGTGGAGGTATAGCTCCGTCTTTTTTGACTTTAGCACTAGATGGAGGTAAGTGGTCAGCTTCATTAACCGATCGCTTTGCCTCCTGCGAAAAAGCGCCCCCTGTATCCACTGGATAGGAGGCTTGAGGGGCCCCAGAATCTTTTGGGCCCTATGGAGAAGAGAAAAATCTTCACTGAGCTGAACCTAACGCGGGCCCAAGGAAAGATATGAAATGGAATGAATAAAGAACATGTGAACGCAGTGAATGAAAGATGCGTAGGCATTATAGGAACCTGAATGGCGATGGATCTGCTCCCACCACAGAAGTTTGTGAGTCAACAGAAATGCGTTCGCAAAGTGAGACCGTGTCAACATATCGCCGCGTTGCAAGCAAAGCACATCGTTTTACAGCCACAGCGGATTCGGAGAACCAAATACATCCAGAATTGCTGAACATTACAAAACAATGCAATTGTACTGTCCGTGTGTTAGACCTGTCTGTACTCAGTCGATTTTGTCGAGTCCACTACTTCAGGTAAGGACTGAAGGGTGTATATGGGTTATAGAGCGTCACCCTGCCACCCACAATTCACTTGCAGCCACTATCCCGCTACATCTTGCCGTACTCCTCACGCTAAATCCAGTGGGTAGATGTAAAAAACACATGGTTCATATAATTACCGTTATCCTAGTAGTCTATACACTTAAGGGACATGCACCTAGTAGATAAGATCTAAACGTTTATGACGATGGTATATTAATACATTTTTTCTCAATGGCTCTTACAGCCCATTCAAGGGCCCAGACCTCTTATTCAGTTCCGCAATTATTTTTCACAGACGGTAGGACTCCTTGGGCGGGTGATCAGCCCGTCGCAAGGCCGCTACCTAAACACAGGACAACAGAAACACAGAATAACCCGCATACACACACCAAACATCCATTAAGGGAGGAACATAGACTGAGGGTGCTTGAGAACAGGGTGTTGAGAATATTTGGAGCGAAGAGGGATGAAGTGACAGGCGGTTGGAGAAAACTGCATAATGAGGAGCTTCATAACTTAGACTCTTCTCCAAGTATAATTAGAATGATCAATTCAAGAACGATGAGTTCGGCAGGGCATGTAGCACGAATTGGGGAGAAGAGGAATGCATACAGGATATTGGTGGGAAAAGGAGACCACTGAGAATACCAAGGCGTAGGTGAGTGGACAATATTAAAATGGATCTTAGAGAGATAGGAAGGGATGGTATGGATTGGATTGATCTGGCTCAGGATAGGGACCAGCGGAGGGCTCTTGTGACCACGGTAATGAACCTTCGGGTTCCATAAAATGCTGGGAAATTCTCGAGAAGCTGCAGATATGGCTTCTCCTCAAGAAGGGCTTAGCTCCATAGTACGAAAGTAAGTATGGATTTGGCCGCGCCATAGCTCAAGCGGTTAGTTGCGGGCTTCCCACCGCGGGGGCCCGGGTTCGATCCCGGGTCTGGTCAAGTGGGATTTGTGGTGGACAAAGTGGCGCTGGGGCAGTTTCTCCGAGTACTTCGGGTTTCCCCTGCCAATCTTCATTCCACCAGTGGCTCCACAATCACCCACACCTATCATCTGGGACTGGTACAATAGGCCAGTAGTGGCCGCAGTACCAAGTGAACTCAGCCTCACCCCACTAGGAATAATAAAATATGAAAGCATATCAGTATAGCGGTTGGCTAGGCCTGGGCGACAGAGGGGTCGGCGATCGAGTCCCGATAAGGTCAAAAATTTTCTCTTCTCCACTTCTTCCAGACCGCCTCTGGGGTCCACCTAACCTCCTATCCAATAGGTACCGGGGCTCTTTCCCCCGGGGTTAAAGCGGCAGGGGCGTGAAGCTGACCACTCACCTCCAACTAGTGCCGAGGTCAAGAAAATATGGATATATACATCCACTTCCCCATACACCTTCCTGGCGTAGTGTTTAATTAGTTAAGCACAAGAACAACTTTACATTTACCTTTACCCTCCCGAAAAGTATAAGGGTAGCTCTCTGAGTACGTCATGACCGTTTTCTTCCAAATCCTTTATAATTCATCAATCATCGACTATTTGACGCTATGTAATGTAGATCAAGACAGCATAGTCAAATTACCGGCAAGGGACTAAGTCCCTTGTACTGCGGCCACTTCTGGCCTATTGTACTAGCCACAGATGATAGGTGAGGGTGATTGTGGAGCAATTGGTGGAATGAAGATTGGCAGGGGAAACCGAAGTACTCGGAGAAAACCTGCCCCAGCGCCACTTTTCCAACATAAATCCCACTTTACCAAACCCGGGATCGCACCCTGGCCGCCGCGGTGGGAAGCCAGCGACTAACCGCTTGAGCTATGGCGCGACCTATCAGTAGCCTTACATTTCAGTCGCCGGTGAAACCACGGCCATTTCATTTGCGTCTGTGGATACAAGGGATGAGATGCATGAATGAGCACTTTAAGAATCTATCAATATAGGCCGTAGATCAGTTGTCCTACCTTCTTGAAGATTCAGCACTTCCAGAGCTGTTGTCGTCGCAGTGTGAGGTAACACCTGTAAGATAAGAAAGTCACTGTTTAAGTGCTAGCACGTACTATCTCCCTTCGGAAACATTATTCTGCTTCAGTCCTTTCGTTACTTCACCTATTTCAGCACAAGAATACCTATGCTGAACATGACTTATGGAACTGAGTCAACTTTTGAGAAGCTATCAGTCGCTCAGCCCGTCAATAAATTCCCGTCTTTTATGGAACCCAAAGTACATTACCGCGTTCACAAGCGTCCGCCTCTGATCCCTATTCTGAGCCAGTTACATCCAGTCTGCACCGTAGCATCCTACTGCTTTATGAGCCATTATATACTCCATCTACTCCTAGATCTTCCAAGTAGTCCCTTTCTCTCAGGATTTTTCCAGCTAAAACTTTGGACGTACTACTTTTTTTTAATATCCTCTTGCTCTCACTTTGGAGCACAGGGCTGATTTATCAGTTTCATGATCATTTTACAGACAGTATGACTCATTTAATGGGTGATCAGCTCATCGCAAGGCCTCTGCCTAAATACAGGACAACAGAAACAGAATAAACGCATACACAAACACAACATCCATGCCTTGTGTCGAATTCGAACCCAGGATCCCGGCTTCAGAGCGAGCGAAGACAGTACATGCCTTAGACCGCTCGGCTACCGTGACCGGCGTATTACACTTACCCCTTTATAAAATAATCGAATAATAAATATAAATCTCAATCCAAAGATCAGATCCCCTGATTTATATTATTCGTGGCTTTACTCAATAATTCCAGGATAGCAATTGGAACACAAATCAACACAAGATACACACTACCAAGGGAGCGGCATACCCAATGGTGCACAGAGCGGCCGCAAGACAAAAGACAGGAAGAACAGACATCATATAACGCCATAATTAATAATTATAATGACGTACCTGAGGAGTACTATTGACAAATTGCGCAGTGCAGTGGATTCCTTAAAAATGTTTTGCATGAAGGCAGCCCTGTGTGGCCGAAACATATAGCTCATAAGCATAGAATGTATATATATATATATATATATATATATATTAGTGACATTTTTAAACATTTAAACGAACATTTTAGTGACTTAAATGTGGATTAGCGCCATCTAAATCTGCATTGATAATGTTGCATTATAGACGGAAGAAGGCTATAAGTGAGATGCTTCACTGCAACAGGATGCTGAAATATAATATTATGAACGGTGACCACCAACGTTAAAACCTTACAATAATACAATACACTGTTTTGTGTGTGGGGGGTGGGGCGGTATTATGCGATGCTGTCAGTTGGTACACAACGTCGAATAAGGAAATGACTGATGAACTGGAAGGAATGTGAAAGGAAGTTATCGTGACCTAGCACTGTCCTGGAATTTGTCTGGAGGAACTGAGGAAAACAACCAAACATTTCAGTCAGGTTAGCCGGTGTCTCGGTCGAGATTCGAACCCAGAATCTCCCGAATACGAGCCAATATCAAGATATGTCAGCCCGTCCTGTTATCAATATTTCGGAGAATCATACCGCCTCCATCTTCAGGGTAATCATCGCCGTAGTATACTCAGTGTAATAATAATAAATAATAATAGTTTCGTGGCCCACAACAATTACTTTTTTTATAATTCGCTTAGTGGGGGATGGAGTCCGCCTGGGTCCACTCGGCAAGGAGGCCACTGATTGGCCAATTGTAGCCTGCCCCGGGTCATTATGATGATGGAGAATATGGTGGAATAAAGATGAAGTACTCGGAGAAAACCCGCCCCAGCGCCACTTTGTCCACCACAAATCCCACTTGAGCCCAAGGATCGAACTCTGGCCGCCGTGGTGGGAAGCCAGCGACTAACCTCTTGAGCTATAGCCCGGCCTTACACAACAGTTACCTACTCCTGTTTATAGTGTGGCGCATGATTATAAATTACACTCATGGACACTACGCACTTATTGAAATGAAATATTAAAACAGTCATAAAAGAGAACACTACTCAGTGGACGGAACTGTGAGAGAGACAGTGATAGAGAGAGTTCCCCTGTGACGTAGACGACCATGAATGTTGATGACTCAGTGCTCTGACGTCACCACAGATCGACCCGGGCAGGAGATGAACTCAACCGGCAACGCTGGTTCTTTCGCCATGGCCTCCTTGTGGGTCCGCAATGTCTGTTCGCGGACGCTTTAACCGAAGCTATTACAGTCAACCCCTTGTTAACATACCACATGATTTTTGGTACGTGACGCCGTGTAGCACAGGACTGTGAGGAGTAACATCCCAGAACACAGTATTTTTCGTAGTCACTGTTGTGCGAACATTCATCTCCATCTACTTCCGAAGTAAAAAATCCTGGAGCTATACCTCCGCTTCCCCATACGTTTTCATGGCGCAGTGCTTAATTAATTTAACACAGGGCCAACTTACCTTTAACCGCTTCTAAGAACCCCAAATCCAACACCAGATCAGGGTCACTGTAACTAAACAAAGCAGGTTGTGAGGGACTGAATAATTATAAGGTTATGTACCACCCGCTTTAATATTATAAAACTCTAGATTCTGCCTGAACTCTTGTTTTGGGTGATTCTCGTAATAAAGAGCGATTATTTCCCTAAACGGCATTAACCGGTTGGTCGGTCTCATGGAGACGCGATGTGTTTTCTGTGAGGTACGACCTGCGTTTCTATAGATTATTCAAATGAACTTCCTGCTTCAAAGAGTTAGAGTTCAAATTCTATTATGCAACCTATACCGAAATCGCCCGTTTTCTTACGTAACTACAGTCCAAAATAATCGCATTATGTATTGATATGTTGGCAAGCAATGAAATGGCCATGGAACAGAGAATTTGTTCGTTTTATATACAGTGGAGCCTCGCTTAACGAGCACCTCTCATAACGAATAATTCGCATAACGAGCAAAACAAACTGTAAAGGGTGACTCGCTTAAAGAGCGAGTTTTCGCATAACGAGTGACGAGAGGGAAGTCCCGGATTGTGCGCTTGCTACATCAGTCTGTGTTTAGCACTCGTTCTGCTAGCATCTTAGTGTCGCTTGTGATCACACATTTTTCCAAACTTGTGTTCAGACATATTATTTGTCATTTTTTGTGCAAAGTTTAATAACCCTTGCAAAAATTTCCCCAAAGAAAAAGCCGCAAAATGACAGCCATAAGAGAATAAAAATAACCGTAGAAATGAAACGTAAATTAATTGAAAAGCGAGAACGAGGTGTGAGCGTGGCTGATCTAGCACGCACATACAGTCGGTCTACATCACCGATTTGCACGATTTGGAGTTGCATTGTGTTTCACGGCAAGAAGTTGTGGAGGAGAGTTTGTCAGAGGAGGAGGAGGAGGAGGTAACAGCAAAGCAACAATCTTCTGGCGCAATAAGAGAAATGCTGAAAGCATGGGAAACTGTTGCACCGTACATTGAGAAGCATCGCCCTAATAAGGCAGTGGCTATTCGCGCTACAAATTTATTTAATGATAATGCTGTGTCGCATTTTCACCAAATTTTGAAGCGTCGGCAGAAAAAATGTCTCTAGACAGCTTTCTGGTAAAAAGGAATTAGATATATATCATAAATAATAAACTAATTACTTCGATTTTTTTTTCTGCAAATCGAATTCGTATCCCAGGTTGGTTCATTCCGCATAGAAGAAAAGATGAAAATGATTCACGCTCCTTAACAATGTATATATAATTTTCTTTTAATAAACGTTATATATAAAATTTTTTGAGCATTTTTTTTCGGGATGGAACGCATTATCGTATTTTACATTAATTTATATGGGAAAAAATTGTTTCGCTTAACGAGTATTTCGCATTACGAGTAAGATTCTGGAACTGATTGTGCTCGTTAAGCGAGGTTCCACTGTATTTTGTTAAAAAAAAATCCATTATGGTCGCTCAGCAACCAGACCGGACACAGTGAAACCGAGGACATTGAAGAGAATACATATTTTTATATAATTTGCATAAGATTACATGGGAAATGAACGCGAAACTTCAGTTGGTCACTTGATCAGTGGTAGGCCTGACTACTATCAAGTTTAAGCCCCTTATGCTGCACTGACTCTTGGCCGGAGTCAAAGTCAAACTCAAAATTATGTTATGACCGACGGCCAGTCAGTCAGCCAGTCAGGCTGGGTGTCAAGTACCCATCTTGGGCCCAAGAATAGATATTTATTACTGTCAGAAAGTTTAAAGTTTGTTGATGATGGGCGCTCTCTCTGACGATATGACGGATTTGTCGCTTACAATTACTGCTGTCCCCTCGTCAGCACAGCCATTCTTGGGTCCGAGTCCCGAGGGACCCATGACCATATTTTACTGTCTCAGATTCGAGACTCTCCCAACCTGGAGGGCCAGGTCCCCGTATTTATATCCCCAGGTACAGGGTGGCACAGTTACACCCCTCAGGCACTGGCTTCCCTTTTCTTCGCCTCCTACGACTCGCAGGGCTAAGGTAGAGGTATTCGAACCCGCCCTCATACGGGGTTCCTCCTTGGTCGGAGTTTAAATTGTAGAGTGCATTTGAACATTTAGTTCATACCTCACAGTAAACTTAGTCCAAAATAGTAACGGTTTATTCTGGGAATCATGCCAAACAAATTATATATTCTGTAGCAAAAAGCAGAGTTTATTAAAGTTAAAGAAAGTGGTACACAAAGCTACCAGTGTGCTACGATAAACTGCGTACACTTCGGGAAGAGTGCAGCCCGGCCTATACAGAACACAGGGCCACAAAGAATCTTAGCAGAATGTTTAGGGGTTCGAGCTTCAGGGACGGGTCACAGACAGTCTGACGTAAAGCAAAGATTACCAGCGGTCTATCTGTGACGTCTGTCCAACTGAGTCACTTGTTTTTATGGGGTGATCGAAGTGGGACGAGTGATTTTTGAGCCCACTTCCAGTGTTTGTTAACATAAAGGAGACAGAGGTTGTTCTTGTGTTAAACTTCAGCCCTGGGAGTTACATGCGGACAGTGAAGAGGCACAACCCGAAAAGTTCTTCTTCTTGTATT